GTTTAGGGTTGTTTCCAGAAGTTGAAGAGAACCCATAATCCCCTACACCCCCAGCCTACACTCCCCAATCCTATCCCCTGAGCCCTAGACGCTGAACCCTGACGACTGAGGGCTTGTACGTGCTTCATCACTTCTGGCTTGTTGATAAGGGCTTCAGGCATTTGAGAGACCAAATGTATAAGCTGTGGAATTAGGGTGTCGGAGTATAGTTTTCGCTACCATAGTTCTGCATGGAGAGCTAGCAGCATCTACGACTCTACAACGGGCCCAGGTGCGGCCCCCTGAAACCCCAAACCCTACGTACACCGTGGGTTGAGCTATCTTTATGGATTGGAACCGAGAATAGGCAAATAGGGAAGCAAGCGAGAGCTCCAATTCAGCTTTTGAAAGAAAACCCATATACCACCCAATAAGCCAACTGGAAATCAAGAAAAAAACACGATGACCCTATGAGTGAAAGTCAACATTTCAGCTTCAACCCTCCGTCTACGGCATCCCAGTTGTGACGCTTGTTTTAGTTCAGGTTTGGACCTCAAGCTTCAGAAAACAAGATTTAGGGTTTAGCGTTCAGGTAGGTTGGAGGGGTTTCTAGTGCGAGCTGGGTGCTCCGCTGACGGGTAAACGATGCCATCCTTCCTTGCAGATCAGCGGAATAGGGTTTAGGGTTTAGGCTCTTTGAGCAAATAGTGATGCACAGAAGGGGCCGCAGCAAGGTTCTCTTCAGATCAGTGTGGGTTGCAGACTCTGGTCTGGGACTGTCAGAAAATCGAGAGCAGAACCTTATATCACCTCTGTCGTTTGAATGTTGAAGATCGTGTTTGATGCTGTCGCAGGATGTCGCAGGTGCATGTTGCAACGTATCTGTGTGTGTCAGTTGATGTACAGAAACTATAATAGTACAGATGCTCCTTTGCCAGCTGGTGGCCATCACTGAAACCTAGCTAAACCACAAGCCCGCATTGCAAACCCATTGAGTCCCTCCGCCTAGGCCCTATAAACCTTAAACCCT